CATTCAGGTCCAAGTCAATAAACTCCACTGCTCTCTCACAGGAGTGGATGAAGTCTTAAGCCATTTCGGGGCCAGATGACCATGCCAGCCACCCTCTTATGAAAGCTGGGAAGGGTCAAGAAACCGCAGTCTTAGTCCGACTCCATACCAGACTTGAGATCCAGGGAATATCCCTCTACAGTTGGGAAGCATTGATGACAACCGCCAATCCACAGGACCACGGGCCAGGAAGAGACTCTGGTGGCTGCGAATCAGGAGGCCATAAAAAGTCCATGGGAGGCAGATATCACATTGTTCAGAGGCCACCTCCTGATAATAAATAGCCATGCAAAAACCATACAAGGCACAGAAAAACTTGGCCAGAGATCTTTCACGGCCAATGGGTCAATAATGCCTCTAGTTCGCCCCCCATCCACATAAGGGGGGGGAGAGCCTCTGGAATGACCAGGGATGGGCCCTCTCCAAATCACCCCCCCACCCATGGCTGCATCAGGTAGTCCCAGTTACAAGCGTTGGTAGCATAGCTAGTATAGTGATCCAGGTGCCCCTCGCTCTCCCAATGGAGGCCTCCAGCCTCTCTTCGCCCTCTCTGACGTCAGCCCCCTGCAGCCGCCCATTCCAGCGTCACAGCCAAAGCCAGCATCGATGTCGCCAGCCCCCCGAAATAGCCTCCATCCACCACTGGGTCCCGCAGGAAGCTCCTGCCATCCACACGGCTTCCCTTGGAGCCCAAACGAGGGGCAGCACTGCCGATGCCATCACTGCTGTTCCGCCAGCCTGGCGGCCATGGAGAGATGCTGAGGCTTCTCTCACAGCCGCAAAGCTTCATCCCAGCCACCTCTGTCTTCGTCCTGGCCGTCACGTCCTGGAGAACAATAAGCTCTCAAGATGTCAAAAAGATCGGTGAGAAGCTCCTCTCACCGGTCGTGGGGCATAGCTAGCTGGTCTGGTCCCTGAAACCCCCAAAAAGCCGGGAACATTGCCCCCTGTATCGCCGCCGATCAGTTGAGAGTGGCCATCTTGGGCATGTGCAGAAAGTTTTATTTAGACCTTTTCTAAGGTTTAAATTTCTCTAAGGAGAAATTTCCTGACATTGAGAACAATTAATCAGTGAAATAAATTCCCTCCAGTAATTTTTCAAGTTAATTATATTTTGTAGTTAATGTACAGTAAACTGACCCTTTCTCCTATTAATTCAAAGGAAAAATTGTGTCTAAGCCCTTTCTTAGGACTGCAATGTTAATTATAAAATGCACATGTAAGCCATGTTCACAGAAGTGTGTTAGTCAAGGGCTCTTTTATCCCAACGGATATGTAAATGGAGGCATGATTTCCCCTTTAAAGGATCCTCATGGTTTCCTTTTTCAGACAACTCCCACCAAACTAAACATTGTGCTATTTGCTGAATCCTCTCTTGTCCATTCTCTCCACTCATTAGAGGTAGCAAAAATGGGGCTAAACCTTCTTTTTAGGAGTCCAATCTCAAGTGCAGCTGGTGGAGTTTGGAGGGGATGTGAGAAGACCTGGAGAGTCCCTCCGTCTCTCCTGCCAAGCCTCTGGATTCACCTTCAGCAGCCATGGCATGAGCTGGGTGAGACAGTCTCCTGGGAAAGGACAGGAATGGGGGTCATACACAAACTCCAATTCGGGTAATCTCACATACTCAGACAAAGTCAAGGGCCGCTTCACCATCTCCAGGGACAATGCCAAAAGCCAGCTTTATCTGCAAATGAACAGCCTCAAAGCTGAAGACACGGCAGTCTATTACTGTGCTACATACACAGTGAGTGGAAATGAATTTGCTGCCATGCAAGAACCTTCCTTTCTTCAGAGCATCTCTTCACCTTGTCTAAGCCTCAAATCCTGGGTTATCAATGAGGTTTGATCATTGTCTAGTGAGAAATTTAAGAAGTTTGGATGTAGGCATTAAAAAAGTTTCCTGTAACTAATATAAAAAAGTTCCAAGTCTACCAGTTGATTTCACTTCACTGGAATGAAAGGTGCTTGTTTAGTGTTGTGGCGGAAGGGTGAAAAGGAAACCTTAGGATACCCCTTCTAAACATCCAAAGTGGCAAACACAAATTGGGGAAATACCTGCTCTGAAGGAATCTCCTTGGAGAATTAAGAAGATGTGTCGTGACTTCAGCTTTAACTCTGGAAGCCATGTTGCCATAGAAAATCCAATTGCCCATTTAGGTGGAGGGAATGTGCTAGGGAATAAAATAGGTTTAAGTGTCAATTGTCCATTTGGACAATTGTCTTCAATTGGCCAAAAGTGGTTTTCAGTGCCAAAAATGGTCCTAAGTCACTTTTTTCAGTGCCATTGTAACTTCCATCACTAACCAAACATTTCTAAGTGAAGGACGACCTGTACTTTATCACTTTTTTCTTTTTTCCTTTTTCTTTTCTTTCTTTCTTTCTTCTTCTTCTTCTTTTCTTTTCTTTTTTTTTTCTTTTGGTCATCAAGTTTTTGACCCCTTGCTAGGCGACTGGTGGTACTCAAATATTGCTATAGCCAAAATGTGGTACAATCTGCAAGAAGTTTGAAAAGCTCTGTTCTAAACCTCCAAACGGCCCTTCTCACATTGAGGAAACATCTGCACCAAAAGAATCTCCTGGGAGAATTAGGAAGATGGGTCCTCTCCTCATTCTGGACACTAGAGGGCAATGTTGTCACATATTTTATTTCTGTAATAATTCACTGTCATTAGGGCAAAGAAGCGATGCCACCTGGCCACACCCACCCGGTCACATGAAGCACTGCAGTTGTGAAATGAATGACAAGATTGTTAAGAATGCTGCAATGATGATCGTAAGTGCAAGGTCGTAAATGCAAGGACCATTCGAAAGTGCAAGGACCTGCCAGAAATCACTTTTTTCAGCCCTCTGGGTAGTCCCTATGCACATAGCCACGCCCACCCGGTCACATGACCAGCTAGCCACGCCCACCCGGTCACATGACCAGATAGCCACACCCGCCCGGTCACATGTCCACCAAGCCACGCCCCCAAATAAGACCTGCCCACAGAACTGGTTGTTAAAAAAGTTGAATCCCACCACTGCTTATAGATACTAATCAGGGGTGGGTTCTACTTACCTTTACTACCTGTTTAAAGCAGGATCGCGCTTCTATGCATGCGCAGATCACCAATAATGACATCTGGGACAGTGGGCAGGGCCTCCCCCCACTGTCCGAACCGGGGGCAACCCACCACTGGAATAAACAGAATCTTTTCGATAATATAAAGAGAATTATTTGTCATTCTGTTTGAATTGAAAGATGTATTTGGTCACAATATGATTTAAGTTTTACTTCATAAGTTGAGTGCGCCCAACTTGCCTAGCTGAAAAGGTGTTCCGTGATGGTAGTTGGGATTTTCCACAAAATAAACAACGGGTTAAGAAACAATCTGATAGCAAATATTTTAATTCAAATATACTAGCTTTTTTTATCCTCTCTAATAAGTATCCTTAAATGGGATTAAAGTGTCCATTTATTCCGTATTACTAAATCATTTGGTAGTAGTGAAATTTTCAATCCTTTTTTGTCGTTAATGTACAGTAAATAGGCCCGTTTTCTTATTAACTCCGGAGGGGGGGAAGTATCCAAAATTTTTCTTAGGACTAGAATGTTGATTACGAAATGTAGATGTAAGTTATGTTCACCGAAATGTCTTTTATCCAGAGGCTTGTGCCTCTCGTTATTCCCGCGCTACAACATTTAGTATATTTTCCAGGCAAAACAGCCCTTTTGCCTGTTAATTCATAAGAGAGAGAGAGAGAGAGAGAGAGAGAGAGAGAGAGAGAGAGAGAGAGGGAGAGAGAGAGAGAGAGAGAGAGAGAGATGATAGATAGATAGATAGATAGATAGATAGATAGATAGATAGATAGGTCACAATCCTTTTATTAGGACTGCAATGTTATTTACAAAAAGCACATGGAAGTGATGTTCACAGAACTGTTTTAGTTAAGGGCTCTTATATCCCAAGAGATATGTAAATCGAGGCACAATTTCCCCTTTAAAGGAGCCCCATGCCCACCTGGTCACAAGACCACCAAGCCATGCCCCCCAAATAAGCCCCACCCATAGAACTGGTTGTTAAAAAAGTTGAATCCCCCCACTGCTTATAGATACAAATCAGAGGTAGGTTCTACTTACCTTTACTACCAGTTCGCAATAGGATTGCGCTTCTATGCATGCGCAGATTGCCGATGATGACATCCGGAGCAGTGGCGGGGCTTCCCACCAGTTTTACTACTGGTTCTTGCGAACCGGTCCGAACCGGGGGCAACCCACCACTGATAGAAATACTATAGAGCAATCCAGAAGATTTTAAAGTTTCTCTCAAAGGAACTCAAAACAACTTCAATTCTTCTTCACTTCACTTTAGAAGTCCAATCTCTATAATCCATACTGGGAAACCACGTCTGGGTTTACAACAGAAAACTCAGAGCAAACAGAATCTTTCGGATAATACAAAGATAATTATTTATCATTCTCTTTGAATTGAGAGACTGTATTTGGTCACAATATGACTTAAGTTTTACTTTGTGAGTTGAGTGGACCCAACTTGCCTAGCTGAAAAACTGTTCCGTGATGGTATCTGGGATTTTCCACAAAATAAACAATGGTTTAAGAGGCAATCTCATAGCAAACATTCTAAATCAAATGTCCTAGCTTTTTTAATCCTCTCTAATAAGTTTCCTTAAATGGGACTAAATGTCCATTTATTCCCTATTACATAAAATCATTTGGTAATAGTGAAATTTCCAATCCTTTTTTGTAGTTAATGTACAGTAAACAGGCCCTTTTTCTTATTAACTGAGGAGGGGGGGAAAGTATCCAAAACTTTTCTTAGGACTAGAATGTTGATTACAAAATGTAGATGTAAGTTATGTTCACTGAAATGTCTTTTATCCCAACAAATATGTAAATTCAGACACAATTTCCCCTTTAAAGGAGCCGGATGGTTTCCCTCTTCAGACAACACCCACCAACCTAAACCTTGTGCTATTTGCTGAATCCTCTCTTGTCAATTTCCTCCATTCATTACAGGGAGCAAAAATGTGGCTAAATCTTGTGTCCTTACTAGTATTCCTCAAAGGTAATTATTCCCCCGTATAGAGTTTATTTCCATGTTCTGCTCCTCTATGCAGGAGATCTCATTTTTTTTTAAAAACAAACAAACAATCCTTTTCTTTTTAGGAGCCCAATCTCAAATCCAGTTGGTGGAATCTGGAGGAGATGTGAGAAGACCTGAAGAGTCCCTCCGTCTCTCCTGCCAAGCCTCGGGCTTCACCTTCAGCAGCTACCACATGCACTGGGTGAGACAGGCTCCAGGGAAAGGACTGGAATGGGTGTCATACATCTATACTGATTCCAGTGGAAAGTTCTACTCGGACAAAGTGAAGGGCCGCTTCACCGTCTCCAGGGACAATGCCAAAAGCCAGCTGTATCTGCAAATGAACAGCCTCAAAGCTGAAGACACGGCAATTTATTACTGTGCAAGAGACACAGTGAGAGGAAGTGAATCTGAAGCCAAACAAAAACCTTCCTTTCTTCAGAGCATTTCTTCAACTTGTCTAAGGCGCCAATCCTGGGTTATCAATGAGGGTTGGTTATTGTCTAGTGAGAACTTCAGAACGTTTGGGTGTAGATCACAACTCTCCATGCCCCTCTGTCTCACACTGCCTTCGTTAGGTCCTCCATGGTCATCCCAGTGTCATCCTTTATAGTGTCCACTCAGTGGGTGCTAGAGTGGCCCCTTCTTCTTTTTCCACTGATTATTCCCAGCATGATTGATTTTTTTGAGTGAATCAGCTCTTGCAACATGATCAAAGTATGATCTGTGTTTGGTGATTTTGGCTTCCAGCAGTGGTGAAATCCAATTTTTTTTACGACCGGCTTTATGGGTGTGGCTTGGTGGGTGTGGATATTGCAAAATCTGCATCCCCTCCCCACTCCTGGGGGAATGATATTGCAAAATCCCCATTCCCTCCCCACTCCTGGGGGAAGGATATTGCAAAATCTCCATTCCCACCTCACTCTGCAGCCAGCCAAAGGTGGTATTTGCCACTTCTCCGAAGTACTCAAAATTTCCGCTACCCGTTCTCTAGAACCCGTCAGAACCTGCTGAATAGCAGCCCTGATGTAGGGCTCTTTTATCCCATCAGATATCAAAATGAAGGCACAATTTCCCCTTTAAAGGGACTCAATGTTTTCCCTTCTCAGACAACTCCCACCGGCATAAAGGTTGTGCTATTTCATATTCATTGAACATGTAAAACAGTTAAAGGATTATGGATGCAAATATGTCCAGGAATCCAGAAAATATTGGAGTTCCTCTCAAGGGATCTCAAAACGATTTAATTCCTCACGACACCGAAATCCTTACTGGGAAGCCCTACAGATAACCTACAGTAAACAAAATATTTTGGATAACACAAAGGATAATATTTATTATGCTCTCTGGAATAAGAGAGCGTATTTGGTCACAATAGGACTGAAGTCCGACTTTGTGAATTGAGTGGCCCCAACTAGTCTAGCTGAAAATGTGTTCCTTGCGGTTCAGCTGCCATTTAATATATTTGGGATTATCCATAAAATAAACAAATAAAACAGTGCATTTAGTGTATTGTTCAGGCTTTTCTTTCAATAAATGCTCAGTAAATTTGCCCTTTTGCCTATTAATTCACAAAATAAATGAATAAACAAATGGGTCACAATCCTTTTATTAGGACTGCAATGTTATTTACAAAATGCACATGGAAGCGATGTTCACAGAATTGTGCTTCTCAAGGGCTCACATTTTTCAGTACTCTGGGTAGTTCCTTTGTGCATACAGACTACTCAGAGGGCTGAAAAAGTTATTTTTGACTGGTCCTCACGCTTTTCACTGGTCCTCGCACTTATGACTGTCCTCACATTTTAAGTTTTCCACCCTATCTTGTCACCATGGAGAAGAGAAGTAATTGTGAAATGAGTGGCATGGTTGTTAAGAATGCTGCAATGGGCATAAATGATGACCAGTCATGAGTGAGAGGACCGGTCAAAAGTGCGAGGACCGGTCAGAAATCACTTTTTCAGCCCTCTGAGTAGTCCTTATGCACATAGCCATGCCCACCCAGTCCCATGACCAGCTAGCTATGCCCACCTGGTCACATGAACACAAAGCCACGCCCCCAAATAAGCCAAACCCACAGAACCGGTTGTTAAAAATGTTGAATCCCACCAGTCCTTATAGATACTGATCAGGGATGGGTTCTACTTACCTTTACTACCGGTTTGCAACAGGATTGCGTTTCTACGCATGCGCAGATCACTGATGATGACATCTGGGGCAGTGGGCGGGGCCTCCCACCAGTTTTACTACTGTTCCTTGCGAACCGGTCCGAACCAGGGGCAACCCACCACTCCTTGGTTTTCCATGGAGCTCCGGGAAATGAAACATCGGAAAAGACGCTTAGAGGAGAGTTGGAGGTCCTCCCGATCTGAATCTGACCGAACACAGTTAAGAACCCATATTAGGTCTTATCTAGTGTCGATGGAAGCGGCGAAACCTCACTACTTCGTCGCCCTCACTGCATCTGCAGAAAACCGCCCAGCGGCCCTGTTTCGTGTGACCCGCTCCCTCCTCAATCAGGGAGCGAGGGAAGACCCTTTGCTGAGCAGAGCTGAGGATTTTGTACAGTTTCTGCATGATAAAATCGCTCAGATCCGGATCAGATTGGACTCTGACTGGGCAGAATCCCATCGGGAGACTAGGGTGGGTCTTGAGAATAATATCTGGATTGAGTTTGACCCTGTTTTTGTCAAGGAAGTGGACAGGATTGTGGGCAAACTTAGTTCCTCCACTTGCTTATTGGACCCTTATCCCTCCTGGTTGGTTTTGGCTGCCAGAGAGGTGACTAGGGACTGGATTCAGGCAATTGTCAACACGGTCGTTGAGAGAGGGGAACTTCCCCACCTCTCTTAAGGAGGCGGTGGTTCGACCTCTCCTCAAGAAGCCTTCCCTGGATCCAGACTCACTTAATAACTATTGTCCCGTCTCCAACCTTCGCTTCATCGCCAATGTTGTTGAGACTGTAGTGGCTCAACAGCTCCCACAATTCCTGGAGGAAACGGGATACCTTGACCCGTACCAAGCAGGCTTCCGACACAGTCACAGCACGGAAACGGCATTGGTCGCTCTGGTGAATGATATCTGGTGGTCTTGGGATGGGGGTTGTTCCTCCATCCTGGTCCTACTTGACCTCTCAGCGGCTTTTGATACCATCGACCATGGTATCCTAATGCAGCGACTTGTGGGATTGGGGGTGGGAGGCACTGTCTTACGGTGGTTTTCCTCCTACCTCTCGGTTCACTTTCAGTTTGTATGGGCGAGAGGGCAGAGATCCACCCCGAGGCCCCTTAATTGTGGGGTGCCTCAGGGGTTGGTTATCTCACCCCTGCTCTTTAACACCTATATGAAGCCACTGGGTGAGATCATTCGTGGCTTTGGGGTGAGATATCATCAATATGCTGATGATACCCAATTATACATCTCCACCCCAGACCACCCCAGAGATGCCCTTTCCGTGATGTCCCGTTGCCTGAAGGAGGTACGAGCCTGGATTGGCAGAAACAGACTCAAACTCAATCCCTCTAAGACTGAGTGGCTGTGGATGCCGGCATCTCGGGTTTCAGAGGCTCCATCACTTTTGATAGATGGGGAAAAACTTGCACCCGTTGATAGGGCTCGCAACTTGGGTGTCCTCCTGGATGCTCGGCTATCCCTAGAAGACCATCTAATGGCCGTGACCAGGGGAGCCTTCGCACAGGTTCACCTGGTGCGCCAGTTGCGCCCTTTCCTGGACCGAGATGACCTTCGCACAGTCACTCATGCCCTGGTTACTTCCCGCTTGGATTACTGCAATTCCTTCTACATGGGCCTGCCCCTGAGATGCACCCGGAGACTCCAGCTGATCCAGAATGCAGCTGCACAGGTTGTTATGGGAGCACCTCGTTACTCCCACATAACACCCCTCCTGCGTGAGCTGCACTGGTTACCAGTGGTTCTCCGGGTCCGCTTCAAGGTGCTAATCCTCACCTATAAGGCCCTTCATGACTTAGGTCTGGGATATTTGCATGACCTTCTCCTGCCTGCCTCTCACCGTCCTGTTCGCTCACATAGGGCCGCTCTCCTCAGGGTTCCGACGGCGATCCAATGTCACCTTGCTGTGCCCAGGGGAGGGCATTCTCTGTGGGTGTTCCCACCCTCTGGAATGAATTACCTACTGACTTGAAGACTTGGCTTTTCAAACAAATAGGCTGAGACTCATTCCGGGCTTTATTATTTACTACTAATTAATTATTTGGATTAAATTATGATTTTATTGTACTTGTTTCTTAACTTGTGTTCACTGCCCTGAGTCCTTCAGGAGAATGGCGGCATATAAATACATGTAATAAAATAAATAAATAAATAATACAAATGCAATCCAGAAGATTTTAAAGTTTCTCTCCATGCAACTCAAAACAACTTCACTTCTTCTTCACTTCACTTTAGGAGTCCAATCTCTATAATCCATACTGGGAAACCATGTCTGGGTTTACAAAAGAAATCTCAGAGGAAACAGAATCTTTTGGATAATACAAAGAGAATTATTTCTCATTTTCTTTGAATTGAGAGACTATATTTGGTCACAATATGACTTAAGTTTTACTTCGTGAGTTGAGTGGACCCAACTTGCCTAGCTGAAAAAGTGTTCCTTGAGGGTAGCTGGGATTTTCCATAAAATAAACAATGGTTTAAGAAACTATCTGAAAGCAAACATTTTAATTCAAATATATTAGCTTTTTTAACCTCTCTAATAAGAGTCCTTAAATGGGACTAAAGTGCCCATTTATTCCGTATTACTAAAATCATTTGGAAGTGTAGTGAAATTTTCAAGCCTTTTTTATAGTTAATGTACAGTAAACTGACTCTTTTATTTATGAACTCAAGGAAAAAAATGTGTCCAAAACTTTTCTTAGGACTAGAATGTTGATTACAAAATGTAGATGTAAGTTATGTTCACTGAAATGTCTTTTATCCCAACAGATATGTAAATTCAGACACAATTTCCCCTTTAAAAGAGCCCCATGGTTTCCCTCTTCAGACAACTCCCATCAAACTCAACCTTGTACTATTTGCTGAATCCTCTCTTGTCAATTCCCTCCACTCACTAGAGGGAGGAAAAATGTGGCTCAACCTTGTGTCCTTACTAGAACTCCTCAAAGGTTATTATTCCCTCTGTAAAGAGTGTATTTCCATGTTCTGCTCCTCTATGCAGGAGATCTCATTTAAAAAAAAAAAACACTTTTCTTTTTAGAGGTCCAATCTCAAGTACAGGTGGTGGAGTCTGGAGGGGATGTGAGAAGACCTGGAGAGTCCCTCCGTCTCTCCTGCCAAGCCTCTGGATTCACCTTCAGCAGCTATGACATGGACTGGGTGAGACAGGCTCCAGGGAAAGGCCTGGAATGGGTTGCACGCATCTATACTGATTCCAGTGGAAAGTTCTACTCGGATAAAGTGAAGGGCCGCTTCACCGTCTCCAGGGACAATGCCAAAAGCCAGCTGTATCTGCAAATGAACAGCCTCAAAGCTGAAGACATGGCAATTTATTATTATGCAAGACACACAGTGAGAGGAAGCGAATCTGCTGCCATGCAAGAACTTTCCTTCCTTCAGAGCATCTCTTCACCTTGTCTAAGCCTCAAATCCTGGGTTATCAATGAGATTTGATCATTGTCTAGTGAGAACTTGAAGAAGTTTGGATATAGGCAATGGTGAAATGTCAAATTTTTTACTACCAGTTCTATGGGTGTGGCTTCGTGGGGGATGGTGGTGGTAATGTGACTGGATGGGCATGGCCAACTTTTTTTTTTTTTTTTTACTTTTAAAAGCATTTTTTCGGCCGAAGTGGTTGTAGAAAAAATGCTTTTAAAAGTAAAAAAAAAAAAAGCCTCTGATGATCGCGCAGCTCAGCTGGGCATGAGGGGGCACGCAGGGATTTTTGCTACCAGTTCTCTGAACCATCCGCCGCCATCGCTACTGGATTGGGTGATCTGGTCCGAACTGGGAGCATTTCACCCCTGGATGTAGGTATTAAAACAGTTTGCTGTAACAAACTAAAAAAATTCCAAGTCTATCTCTTGATTTGATTTCACTGGAATGCAATGTGCTTGTTTAGTTTCCTGGCGGAAGGGTGAAAAGGAAATCTTAGGATAATCATTCTAAATATCCAAACTGGTAAACACACATTGTGGAAATATCTGCCCTGAACGAATCTCCTTGAAGAATTAAGATTTGTCCTCACTTCAGTTTCAACTCTGGAAGCCATGTTGGCATAGAAAATCCAATTGCACATTCAGCTGGAGGGAATTGGCTACGGAATAAATTATGTTTAAGTATAAATTGTCTTCTTGGAATTGTGATACCCTGTTTCCCCCAAAATAAGACATCCCCTGATAATAAGCCCAATTGGGCTTTTGAGCACATGGCAATAAGGCCAAGCGCTTATTTCAGGGTTCAAAAAAATATAAGACAGGGTCTTATTTTGGGGAAAACACGGTATTTTTTTATTATTTCCATAGTATTTCACAGAAGATATCTCAAGAAAATTTCCCATCTCAGAAGGGTACAGAGCTGACCAGGAAGCTGTTTTTTAAAAAATAAAATAATGTATAATTTTTGTTTGTCACTAAAGAAACCACTTAGGCCTTTCCAACCTTTACTGGAAGTGAAAAAAACAATGAAGGGATTGTATTATCATATTCAGTGAGTGCATAAAACAGTTAAAGTATTATGGATGCAAATATGTACACGAATCCAGAAAATATTGGAGTTTCTCTCAAGGGATCTCAAAAGAATTTAATTTCTCAAGATGCCAAAATGCTTACTGGGAAGCCCTACCGATAACCTACAGTAAACAAAATATTTTGGATAACACAAAGGAGAAGCATTTATTATGCTCTCTGGAATAAGAGAGCAAATAGGACTGAAGTCCGACTTTGTGAATTGAGTGGCCCCAACTAGTCTAGCTGAAAATGTGTTCCTTGCGGTTCAGATGCCATTTAATGTATTTGGGATTTTCCATGAAATAAATAAATAAAACAGTGCATTTAGTGTACTTTTCAGGCTTTTCTTTTAGTTAATGCTCAGTAAATTTGCCCTTTTGCTTATTAATTCATAAGATAGATAGATAGATAGATAGATAGATAGATAGATAGATAGATAGATAGATAGATAGATGAGTCACAATCCTTTTCTTAGGACTGCAATGCTATCTACAAAATGCACGTGGAAGTGATGTTCACAGAAGTGTTTTAGTCAAGGGCTCTTTTATCCCATCAGATATGTAAATCGAGGCATAATTTCCCATTTTAAAGAGCCCCATGGTTTCCCTTTTCAGAAAACACCCACCAACCTAAACCTTGTGCTATTTCCTGAATCCTCTCTGGTTAATTCCCTCCACTCATTAGAGGGAGCAAAAATGTGGCTAAACCTTGTGTCCTTACTAGTACTCCTCAAAGGTAATTATTTTTCCCATATAAAGCGTATTTCCATGTTTTGCTCCTATATGCAGGAGATCACATTAAAAAAAGAACAATCCTTTTCTTTTTAGGGGTCCAATCTCAAGTCCAGTTGGTGGAGTCTGGAGGGGATGTGAGAAGACCTGGAGAGTCCCTGCATCTCTCCTGCCAAGGTTCTGGGTTTACCTTCGGAAACTACCACATGGGCTGGGTGAGACAGGCTCCAGGGAAAGGACTGGAATGGGTTGCATTCATCTATACTGATTCCAGTGGAAAGTTCTACTCAGACAAAGTGAAGGGCCGCTTCACCGTCTCCAGGGACAATGCCAAAAGCCAGCTGTATCTGCAAATGAACAGCCTCAAAGCTGAAGACACGGCAGTCTATTACTGTACAAGACACACAGTGAGAGGAAGTGAATCTGAAGCTAAACAAAAACCTTCCTTTGCTCAGAGCAGCTTGATTAAACCTCAAATCCTGCAGTTATCAAAGAGAGTTGATCATCAGTGGGAATTCCAGGATGTTTGTATCAAAAGATTTTGCTATAACAAATTTTTTAAAAATTAAGTGTATTTCCCTGCTCAGGAGTTAATTTGGCTTCACTGGAAAGGAATGTAGTCCTTTAGTATCATGGGGGAATGATGGAAATGAAAATTTAGGATCATCCTTCTGGCAAACACACACTGAGGAAATATCAGCTCTGAACCAATCTCCTTGGAGAATTAAGAAGATGCTTCCTTGCTTCAGTTTTGACTCTCCAAGCTATGTTACCTTGAAGGTGGCTGGGATTTTCCATAGAATAAACAATGGTTAATGAACCAATCTCATAGCAAAAATCCCAATTCAAATATGCTAGCTTTTGCTTTACCCTCTCCAATAAGTTTCCTTAAGCGAGACTAAAGGTCAATCTATTCTCTATGACATAAAATCATTTTGAAAAGTAGTGAAATTTTTCAAGCCTTTTTTGTAGTTAATGTACAGTAAACTGACCCTTTCTCCTATTAACTCAAAGGAAAAAAATGTGTCTAAGCCTTTCCTTAGGACTGAAATGTTAATTACAAAATTCACACGTACACGTACATGTACATGTACAAAAATGCACATTGGAAAGAGGTTCAAAGAAATGTATTGGTCAAGGGCTCTTTTATCCTAACCGATATGTAAATTGAGGCACAATTTCCCCTTTAAAGGAGCCTCATTGGTTTCCCTTTTCAGACAACACCCACCAACCTAAACCTTGTGCTATTTGCTGAATCTCCCCCTGTCAATTCCCTCCATTCATTAGAGGGAGCAAAAATGTGGCTAAACCTTGTGTCCTTACTAGTACTCCTCAATGGTAATTGTTTCCCTTCGTATAGAGCTTATTTCCATGTTCTGCTCCTCTATGCAGGAGATCTCATTAAAAAAAAACACTTTTCTTTTTAGGGGTCCAATCTCAAGTCCAGTTGGTGGAGTCTGGAGGGGATGTGAGAAGACCTGGAGAGTCCATCCGTCTCTCCTGCGAAGCCTCTGAATTCACCTTCAGCAGCTATGGCATGAGCTGGGTGAGACAGGCTCCAGGGAAAGTTCTACTCGGACAAAGTCAAGGGCCGCTTCACCATCTCCAGGGACAATGCCAAAAGCCAGCTGTATCTGCAAATGAACAGCCTCAAAGCTGAAGACTCAGTGGTTTATTACTGTGCAAGACCCACAGTGAGAGGAAGTGAATCTGAAGCCAAACAAAAACCTTCCTTTCGCCAGAGCACTTCTTCAACTTGTCTAAGCCGCCAATCCTGGGTTATCAATGAGGGTTGATTATTGTCTAGTGAGAACTTCAGAACGTTTGGGTGTAGATCACAACTCTCCATGCCCCTCTGTCTCACACTGCCTTCTTTAGCTCCTCCATGGTCATCCCAGTTTCACCCTTTATAGTGTCCACTCAGTGGGTGCTAGAGTGGCCCCTTCTTCTTTTTCCACTGATTGAAAATGATTGGGAAACAATCATTCCCAGCATGATTGATTTTTCAAGTGAATTAGCTCTTGCAACATGATCATGCAGTATTATATGTGTTTGGTGATCTTGTCTTCCAGCAGTGGTGAAATCCAATTTTTTTTTACTACCCGTTCTATGGGCTTGGATTTGTGGGTGTGGTGTGGCTTGCTGGGCATGGCTTGGTGGGTGTGGCAGGGGAAGGATACTGCAAAATCCACATTCTCTCCCCACTGTGCAGCCAGCCAAAGGTGGTATTTGCCAGTTCTCCGAACTACTCAAAATTTCCGCTACCAGTTCTCTAGAACCTGTCAGAACCTGCTGAATAGCACCCCTGATGTAGGGCTCTTTTATCCCATCGGATATCAAAATGAAGGCACAATTTCCCCTTTAAAGGGACCCAATGTTTTCCCTTCTCAGACAACTCCCACCGGCATAAAGGTTGTGCTATTTCATATTCATTGAACATGTAAAACAGTTAAAGGATTATGGATGCAAATATGTCCATGAATCCAGAAAATATTGGAGTTTCTCTCAAGGGATCTCAAAAGAATTTAATTCCTCAAGACACCGAAATCCTTACTGGGAAGCCCTACAGATAACCTACCGTAAACAAAATATTTTGGATAACACAAAGAGAATTATTTATTATGCTCTTGGAATAAGAGAGCGTATTTGGTCACAATAGGACTGAAGTCCGACTTTGTGAATTGAGTGGCCCCAACTAGTCTAGCTGAAAATGTGTTCCTTGCGGCTCAACTGCCATTGAATGTATTTGGGATTTTCCATAAAATAAAAAAATAAAACAGTGCATTTAGTGTATTTTCCAGGCTTTTCTTTTAGTTAATGCTCAGTAAATTTGCCCTTTTGCCTGTTAATTCATAAAATAGATAGATAGATAGATAGATAGATAGATAGATAGATAGATAGATAGGTAGGTAGATAGATAGATAGATAGATAGATAGATAGATAGATAGATAGATAGATAGATAGGGTTGATTATTGTCTAGTGAGAACTTAAGGAAGTTTGGGTGTAGATCACAACTCTGCATGCCCCTCTGTCTCACATTGACTCCTTAAGGTCTGCCATGGTCATCCTGGTGTCATCCTTCATAGTGTCCACTCAGTGGGTTCTAGAGTGGCCCCTTCTTCTTTTTCCTCTGATCATTCTCAGCATGATTGATTTTTTTGAGTGAATCAGCTCTTGCGACATGATGAAAGTATGATCTGTGTTTGGTGATCCTGGCTTCCAGTGATATTTTTGATGAGGTTTAGTCTAGGACTTATTATTATTATTATTAGAAAAGGGCTGTTATAAAGAATTGGGGGTCAATCTATTCTACAAAAACCCTGAAGACAGAACAAGAAGCAATGGATGGAAATTAATCAAGGAGAGAAGTAATCTAGGACTAAGGAGAAATTTCCTGACAGTGAGAACAATTAATCAGTGAAATAAATTCCCTCCAGAAATTTTTCAAGTTAACTACATTTTATAGTTAATGTACAGTAAAGTGACCCTTTCTCCTATTAACTCAAAGGGAAAAAAATGTGTGTAAGCCTTTTCTTAGGGCTGAAATGTTAATTATAAAATGCACATATAAGCCATGTTCATAGAAGTGTGTTAGTCAAGGGCTCTTTTATCCCAACGGATATGTAAATGGAGGCACGATTTCCGCTTTAAAGGAGCCCCATGGTTTCCCTTTTCAGACAACTCTAACCAAAATAAACCTTGTGCTATTTCCTGAATCCTTCCCTGTCACTTCCCTCCATTCACTACAAGGGAGCAAAAGTGTGGTTAAATCTAGTTGTCCTCAAAGGTAATTATTTACTCTATGGAAAGTTTATTTCCATGTTCTGCTCCTGTGTTCAGGTGATCTCATTTAAAAAAAAACAACAACACACACTTTTCTTTTCAGGAGTCCAATCTCAAGTACAGCTGGTGGAGTTTGGAGGGGATGTGAGAAGACCTGGAGAGTCCCTCCGTCTCTCCTGCCAAGCCTCTGGATTCACCTTCAGCAGCCATGGCATGAGCTGGGTGAGACAGTCTCCTGGGAAAGGACTGGAATGGGTGTCATACATAAACTACAATTCGGGTATTCTTACATACTCAGACAAAGTCAAGGGCTACTTCACCATCTCCAGGGACAATGCCAAAAGCCAGCTGTATCTGCAAATGAACAGCCTCAAAGCTGAAGACACGGCAGTCTATTACTGTGCTACATACACAGTGAGTGGAAGTGAATCTGCTGCCATGCAAGAACCTTCCTTTCTTCAGAGCATCTCTTCACCTTGTCTAAGCCTCAAATCCTGGGTTATCAATGAGGTTTGATCATTGTCTAGTGAGAACTTGAAGAAGTTTGGATGTAGGCATTAAAAAAGTTTCCTGTAACTAATATAAAAAAGTTCCAAGCCTACCAGTTGATTTGACTTCCCTGGAATGAAAGGTGCTTGTTTAGTGTTGTGGCGGAAGGGTGAAAAGGAAACCTTAGGATACCCCTTCTAAACATCCAAAGTGGCAAACACAAATTGGGGAAATACCTGCTCTGAAGGAATCTCCTTGGAGATTTAAGAAGATGTGTCGTGACTTCAGCTTTAACTCTGGAAGCCATGTTGCCATAGAAAATCCAATTGCCCATTTAGGTGGAGGGAATGTGCTAGGGAATAAAATAGGTTTAAGTGTCAATTGTCCATTTGGACAATTGTCTTCAATTGGCCAAAAGTGGTTTTCAGTGCCAAAAATGGTCCTAAGTCACTTTTTTCAGTGCCATTGTAACTTCCGTAACTAACCAAACATTTCTAAGTGAAGGACGACCTGTACTTTATCACTTTTTTCTTTTTTCCTTTTTCTTTCTTTTCTTTCTTTCTTTCTTCTTCTTTTCTTTTCTTTTCTTTTTTTTTCTTTTGGTCATCAAGTTTTTGACCCCTTGCTAGGCGACTGGTGGTACTCAAATATTGCTATAGCCAAAATGTGGTACAATCTGCAAGAAGTTTGAAAAGCTCTGTTCTAAACCTCCAAACGGCCCTTTTCACATTGAGGAAACATCTGCACCAAAAGAATCTCCTGGGAGAATTAGGAAGATGGGTCCTCTCCTCATTCTGGACACTAGAGGGCAATGTTGTCACATGGAATCCCATTGTCTAGGCACCTGATGGGGGAGGGGAAGGGAATTTAAAAACTGAAATTAGATATTGTCTCATTGTGAAAGTCAGATAATATTTTTTTTATTTTATTTCTGTAATAATTCACTGTCATTAGGGCAAAGAAGAGATGCCACCTGGCCACACCCACCCGGTCACATGAAGCACTGCAGTTGTGAAATGAATGACAAGATTGTTAAGAATGCTGCAATGATGATCGTAAGTGCAAGGTCGTAAATGCAAGGACCACTCAAAAGTGCGAGGACCTGACAGAAATCACTTTTTTCAGCCCTCTGAATAGTCCCTATGCACATAGCCACGCCCACCCGGTCACATGACCAGCTAGCCACGCCCGCCCGGTCACATGACCACCAAGCCATGCCCCCAAATAAGACACGCCTACAGAACTGGTTGTTAAAAAAGTTGAATCCCACCACTGCTTATAGATACTAATCAGGAGTGGGTTCTACTTACCTTTACTACTGGTTCAAAGCAGGATTGTGTTTCTATGCATGCGCAGATCGCCAATGATGACATCCGGGGCAGTGGGCGGGGCCTCCCGCCAGTTTTACTACCGGTTCTTGCGAACCGGTCCGAACCGAGGGCAACCCACCACTGGTACAAATGCTATACAGCAATCCAGAAGATTTTAAAGTTTCTCTCCATGGAACTCAAAACAACTTCAATTCTTCTTCACTTCACTTTAGCAGTCCAATCTCTGTAATCCATACTGGGAAACCATGTCTATGTTTACAACAGAAAACCCAGAGCAAACTGAATCTTTTGGATAATACAAAGAGAATTATTTATCATTCTGTTTGAATTGAAAGATGTATTTGGTCACAATATGACTTAAGTTTTACTTTGTGAGTTGAGTGGACCCAACTTGCCTAGCTGAAAAAGTGTTCCTTGATGGCAGCTGGGATTTTCCACAAAATAAACAATGGTTTAAAAAACAATCTGATAGCAAATGTTTTAATTCAAATGTACTAGCTTTTTTTATCCTCTCTAATAAGTGTCCCTAAATGTCATTAAAGTGTCAATTTATTCCGTATTACTAAAATCATTTGGTAGTAGTGAAATTTTCAATCCTTTTTTGTAGTTAATGTACAGTAAACAGGCCCTTTTTCTTATTAACTCGGGTGGAGGGGAAGTATCCAAAACTTTTCTTAGGACTAGAATGTTGATTACGAAATGTAGATGTAAGTTATGTTCACCGAAATGTCTTTTATCCCAACAGATATGTAAATTCAGACCCAATTTCCCCTTTAAAAGAGCCCCATGGTTTCCCTCTTCAGACAACACCCACCAACCTAAACCTTCTGCTATTTGCTGAACACTCTCTTGTCAATTCCCTCCATTCATTAGAGGGAGCAAAAATGTGGCTAAACCTCGTGTCCTTATTAGTACTCCTCAAAGGTAATTATTCCCCTGTATAGAGTTTATTTCCATATTCTGCTCCTCTATGCAGGAGATCTCATTTAAAAAAAAAAACACTTTTCTTTTTAGGAGTCCAATCTCAAGTACAGTTGGTGGAGTCTGGAGGAGATGTGAGAAGACCTGGAGAGTCCCTCCGTCTCTCCTGCCAAGCCTCTGGATTCACCTTCAGCAGCTACGACATGAACTGGGTGAGACAGGCTCCAGGAAAAGGACTGGAATGGATTGCACGTATTTGGTACGATGGCAGTAAGCAATTCTATGTAGACTCTGTCAAAGGACGCTTCACCATCTCCAGGGACAATGCCAAAAGCCAGCTGTATCTGCAAATGAACAGCCTCAAAGCTGAAGACACGGCAATTTATTTCTGTGTTGGAGACACAGTGAAAGGAAGTGAATCTGAAGCCAAACAAAAACCTTCCTTTCTTCAGAGCACTTCCTCAACTTGTCTAAGCCTCAAATCCTGGCTTATCAATCAGGGTTGATTATTGTCTATTGAGAACTTCAGAACGTTTGGGTGTAGATCACAACTATCCATGCCCCCCTGTCTCACTTTGACTCCTTTAGGTCTGCCATGGTCATCCCAGTGACATCCTTTATAGTGTCCACTCAGTGGGTGCTAGAGTGGCCCCTTCTTCTTTTTCCACTGATTATTCCCAGCATGATTGATTTTTTTAAATGAATCAGCTCTTGCAACATGATCAAAGTATGACCTGTGTTTGGTGATCTTGGCTTCCAGCAGTGGTGAAATCCAATTTTTTTTACTATCGGTTCTATGGGTGTGGCTTGGTGGGTGTGGATACTGCAAAATCCGCATTCCCTCCCCACTCCTGGGGGAAGGATATTGCAAAATCCCCATTCCCTCCCCACTCCTGTGGGAAGGATATTGCAAAATCCCCATTCCCTCCCCACTCCTGGGAGAAGGATATTGCAAAATCTCCATTCCCACCTCACTCTGCAGCCAGCCAAAGGTGGTATTTGCCAGTTCTCCGAAGTACTCAAAATTTTTGCTAATGGTTCTCTAGAACCTGTCAGAACCTGCTGAATAGCACCCCTGATGTAGGGCTCTTTTATCCTATCAGTTATCAAAATGAAGGCACAATTTCCCCTTTAAAGGGACCCATGTTTTCCCTTCTCAGACAACTCCGACCGGCATAAACTGCTTACGTACCTGGCTCCCTGCCACGTGGCAACGGCCCTGCCCGAGCTACTCGACGTGATAGCCACGGTGGCAGTTGATACACCCAGGCTTATGGTCATGGGTGATTTCAATCTGCCGTCCGTTGGTGAAACGTCAGAGATGGCTCGGGAGTTCATGGCTTCCATGGCTTCCATGACGGCCATGGACCTGACCCAGTTAGTTCATGGCCCCACACACAGGGGGGGACACACGCTGGACCTGATTTTTGTCTCTGGCCACTGGTTGAGTGGTCTTATTATAGGGGATATAGACATGAAACCCTTGTCATGGTCAGATCACTCACTCCTTCGTCTCGACCTTCGAACCGCTACACCCCGCCGCAGGGAGGCGGACCCAATTAGATGGATCCGCCCCAGGCGCCTGATGGATCCTGATAGGTTCCAGACGGAGCTTGGGCCAATTCCTGAAGATCTGGCACACGACTCGGCCGAGGACCTGGTAGCTGCCTGGGATTGGGCGGCTGGTGGGGCCTTGGATCGAGTCGTGCCTTTGCGGCCTCTGACCCGGTGTCGATCCCTCGCGGCTCCTTGGTTCACCGAGGAACTGAGGGAGATGAAACGCCGGAAAAGACGCCTAGAGAGCGGTTGGAGGGCCAGTCTCACTGAATCTGACCGAACACTGGTAAGGTCGCATATTAAGACCTACCTAGTGGCGATAAAGACGGCAAAGTTTAACTACTTTTCCGCCTCTATTGCATCATCAGGGAATCGTCTGGCCGCCCTGTTCAGGGTAACCCGCTCCCTGCTCCATCCGGGAGCGCGGGAGGATCCCTTGGAAGGCAGGGCGGAGGATTTCGGACAATACCTGTATGACAAAATCGCTCAGATCCGGGGGGATTTGGACTCTGACTGGGTAGATCAGGGCAGGGTGACGAGGAATAGTCTTGAGAATGTTACCTGGGAGGAGTTTGAGGCTGTGACTCCGGAAGATGTGGACAGGATTTTGGGGAGACTTAGTGCGGCCACATGTTTACTGGACCCGTGTCCCTCCTGGTTGGTACTGGCCTCCCAGGAGGTTACACGAGGCTGGCTCCAGGGTGTTATCAACGCTTCGTTGAGTGAGGGTCACTTCCCCGCCGCCTTGAAAGAAGCGGTGGTGAGGCCTCTCCTCAAGAAGCCGTCCCTGGATCCGGCAATATTGGCCAACTATCGTCCTGTCTCCAACCTTCGCTTCCTGGCGAAGGTTGTTGAGAGTGTGGTCGCGTGACAGTTTCCACAATTCTTGGAGGAAACATCCTATCTAGATCCGTTCCAGTCGGGTTTCAGGCCTGGACACAGCACGGAAACGGCATTGGTCGCGTTGGTTGATGATCTCTGGAGGGCTCGGGACAGGGGTTGTTCCTCTGTCCTGGTCCTGTTAGACCTCTCAGCGGCTTTTGATACCATCGACCATGGTATCATGCTGCACCGGTTGGAAGAGTTGGGGATGGGGGCCCCGTATTACGGTGGTTCTCCTCCTTTCTCTCCGACCGGTCGCAGTTCGTGTTGGCAGGGGGGCAGAGGTCGACCTCAAGGCCTCTTATATGTGGAGTGCCTCAGGGGTCGGTCCTCTCGCCCCTCCTGTTCAACATTTATGTGAAGCCGCTGGGCGAGATCATCCGTGGCTTTGGGGTGAGATACCACCAGTACGCTGATGACACCCAGCTGTACATCTCCACCCCAGGCCACCCCAACGATGCCCTTGAAGTGATGTCCCAGTGCCTGGAGGCTGTGCGGATCTGGATGGGGAGGAACAGGCTCAGGCTCAACCCTTCCTAGACTGAGTGGCTGTGGCTCCCGGCATCCCGATATAGTCAGTTGACTCCATCACTGACTATTGGGGGCGAGTCGTTGGCCCCCACAGAGAGGGCTCGCAATCTGGGAGTCCTCGTGGATAGGCAGCTGTCCTTGGAGGAACATCTGACGGCTGTAACCAGGGGGACCTTTTGTCAGGTTCGCCTGATCCGCCAGTTGCGGCCCTTTCTTGATCGGGATTCCCTGTGCACAGTCACTCATGCCCTCGTCACCTCTCGCCTTGACTACTGCAACGCTCTCTACATGGGGCTCCCCTTGAGGAGCACCCGGAGGCTCCATCTGGTGCAGAATGCAGCAGCGCGGGTAGTGACGGGAGCAGCCTGGCGCTCCCATGTAACACCGCTCCTGCGCGAGCTGCACTGGCTCCCAGTGGTCTTCCGGGTGCGCTTCAAGGTGTTGGTTATCACCTTTAAAGCGCTCCATGGCATAGGGCCTAGCTATCTTCGAGACCGCCTGCTGCCACCGACGATCTCCCATTGACCCGTGCGCTCCCACAGAGAGGGCCTCCTCGGGGTGCCATCAGCCAAACAGTGCAGGCTGGTGACCCCCGGGGGAGGGCCTTCTCTGTGGGGGCACCTACCCTCTGGAATCAATTGCCTCCAGAGATAAGGAGAATCCAAGACCTCGGTGCCTTCCGCCGTGACCTTAAAACCTTCCTTTTCCAGCAAGCCGGGCTGGCCTAATTTTTTAAGTGTTTTTAAGTGTTTTGTTTATTGTTTTTAATTAATGGGGCCAAATTTATATATGTATATTTTAACTGTAGTTTAATATTTGTATTTGATGTTTTTACTTGGCTGTTCACCGCCCTGAGTCCTCAGGGAGAAGGGCGGTATACAAATTCAAAAATAAAATAAAAATAAAATAAATAAAGAAAGGTTGTGCTATTTCATATTCATTGAACATGTAAAACAGTTAAAGGATTATGGATGCAAATATGTCCATGAATCCAGAAAATATTGGAGTTCCTCTCAAGGGATCTCAAAAGGATTTAATTTCTCAAGACACCGAAGTCCTTACTGGGAAGCCCTACAGATAAACTACAGTAAACAAAATACAAAGAGAATTGTTTATTATGCTCTCTGGAATAAGAGAGCGTATTTTGTCACAATAGGACTGAAGTTTGACTTTGTGAATTGAGTGGCCTGAACTAGTCTATCTGAAAATGTGTTCCTATATTAAGCTGCCATTTAATGGAGATTTTAAAGTTTCTCTCCATGGAACTCAAAACAACTTCACTTCTTCTTCACTTCACTTTAGGAGTCCAATCTCTATAATCCATACTGGGAAACCATGTCTGGGTTTACAACAGAAAACTCAGAGCAAACAGAATCTTTTGGATAATACAAAGAGAATTATTTATCATGCTCTTTGAATTTAGAGACTGTATTTGGTCACAATATGACTTCAGTTTTACTTTGTGAGTTGAGTGAACCGAACTTGCTGAGCTGAAAAAGTGTTCCTTGATGGTAGCTGGGATTTTCCACAAAATAAACAATGGTTTAAGAAACAATCTGATAGCCAACATTTTAATTCAAATATACTAGCTTTTTTTAACCTCTCTAATAAGTGTCCTTAAATGGGACTAAAGTGCCCATTTATTCCGTATTACTAAAATCATTTGGAAGTGTAGTGAAATTTTCAAGCCTTTTTTGTAGTTAATGTACAGTAAACAGGCCCTTTTTCTTATTAACTTGGGGGGGGGGGAGAGTATCCAAAACTTTTCTTAGGAGTAGAATGTTGATTACAAAATGTAGATGTAAGTTATGTTCACCGAAATGTCTTTTATCCCAACAGATATGTAAATCGAGGCACAATTTCCCCTTTAAAAGAGCCCCATGGTTTCCCTCTTCAGACAACACCCACCAACCTCAACCTTGTGCTATTTGCTGAATCCCCTCTTGTCAATTCCCTCCATTCATTAGAGGGAGCAAAAATGTGGCTAAACCTCCTGTCCTTACTAGTACTCCTCAATGGTAATTATTCCCTCCATATAGAGTTTATTTCCATGTTCTGCTCCTCTATGCAGGAGATTTCATTTAAAAAAAAAACCACTTTTCTTTTTAGGAGTCCAATCTCAAGTGCAGTTGGTGGAGTCTGGAGGGGATGTGAGAAGACCTGGAGAGTCCCTCCGTCTCTCCTGCCAAGCCTCTGGATTCACCTTCAGCAGCTCTTACATGAGCTGGGTGAGACAGGCTCCAGGGAAAGGACTGGAATGGATTGCAGGTATTAGGTACGATGGCAGTAAGCAATTCTATGGAGAGTCTGTCAAAGGACGCTTCACCATCTCCAGGGACAATGCCAAAAGCCAGCTGTATCTGCAAATGAACAGCCTCAAAGCTGAAGACACGGCAATTTATTACTGTGCAAGAGACACAGTGAGAGGAAGTGAATCTGAAGCCAAACAAAAACCTTCCTTTCTTCAGAGCACTTCTTCAACTTGTCTAAACCGCCAATCCTGGGTTATTAATGAGGGTTGATTATTGTCTAGTCAGAACTTCAGAATGTTTGGGTGTAGATCACAACTCTCCATGCCCTTCTGTCTCACACTGCCTTCTTTAGGTCCTCCATGGTCATCCCAGTGTCATCCTTTATAGTGTCCACTCAGTGGGAGCTAGAGTGGCCCCTTCTTCTTTTTCCACTGATTATTCCCAGCATGATTGATTTTTTTGAGTGAATCAGCTCTTGCGACATGATCAAAGTATGATCTGTGTTTGGCGATCTTGGCTTCCAGCAGTGGTGAAATCAAATTTTTTTTATGACTGGTTCTATGGGTGTGGCTTGGTGGGTGTGGATACTGCAAAATCCCCATTCCCTCCCCACTCCTGGGGGAAGGATATTGCAAAATCTCCATTCCCACCTCACTCTGCAGCCAGCCAAAGGTGGTATTTGCCAGTTCTCCGAAGTACTCAAAATTTCCGCTACCGGTTCTCTAGAACCTGTCAGAACCTGCTGAATAGCACCCCTGATGTAGGGCTCTTTTATCCCATCAGATATCAAAATGAAGGCACAATTTCCCCTTTAAAGGGACCCAGTGTTTTCCCTTCTCAGACAACTCCCACTGGCATAAAGGTTGTGCTATTTCATATTCACTGAACATGTAAAACAGTTAAAGGATTGTGGATGCAAATATGTCCAGGAATCCAGAAAATATTGGAGTTCTTCTTAAGGGATCCCAAAAGGATTTAATTTCTCAAGACACCGAAATCCTTACTTGGAAGCCCTGTAGATAACCTATAGTAAACAAAATATTTTGGATAACACAAAAGAGAATTATTTATTATGCTCTCTGGAATAAGAGGGCGTATTTGGTCACAATAGGACTGAAGTCGGACATTGTGAATTGAGTGGCCCCAACTAGTCTAGCTGAAAATGTGTTCCTTGCAGTTCAGCTGCCATTTAATATATTTGGGATTTTCCATAAAATAAACAAAGAAAACAGTGCATTTAGTGTATTTTCCAGGCTTTTCTTTTCGGTAATTCTCAGTAAATTTGCCCTCTTGCCTGTTAATTCATAAAATAGATAGATAGATAGATAGATAGATAGATAGATAGATAGATAGATAGATAGATAGATCACAATCCTTTTCTTAGGACTGGAATGTTATCTACAAAATGCACATGGAAGTCATGTTCACAGAAGTGTGTTGGTCAAGGGCTCTTTTATCCCAACAGATATGTAAATCAAGGCACAATTTCCCCTTTAAAAGAGCCCCATGGTTTCCCTCTTCAGAAAACACCCACCAACCTAAACCTTGTGCTATTTACTGAATCTTGGAACATGATCATGCAGTATGATTTGTATTTGGTGATCTTGGCTTTCAGCAGTGTTGAAATCCAATTTTTTTTACTACCGGTTCTACGGGTCTGGCTTGGTGGCTGTGGTGTGGCTTGCTGGGCATGGCTTGGTGGGTGTGGCAGGAGAAGGATACTGCAAAATCCGCATTCCCTTCCCACTCCTGGGGGAAGGATATTGCAAAATCTCCATTCCCTTCTCACTCTGCAGCCAGCCAAAGGTGGTATTTGCCAGTTCTCCAAACAGCTCAAAATTTCCACTACCGGTTCTCTAGAACCTGTCAGAACCTGCCGAATAGCACCCCTGATGTAGGGCTCTTTTATCCCATCAGATATGCAAATGAAGGCACAATTTCCCCTTTAAAGGGACCCAATGTTTTCCTTTTTCAGACAACTCCCACTGGCATAAAGGTTGTGCTATTTCATATTCACTGAACATGTAAAACAGTTAAAGGATTGTGGATGCAAATATGTCCAGGAATCCAGAAAATATTGGAGTTCTTCTTAAGGGATCCCAAAAGGATTTAATTTCTCAAGACACCGAAATCCTTACTTGGAAGCCCTGTAGATAACCTATAGTAAACAAAATATTTTGGATAACACAAAAGAGAATTATTTATTATGCTCTCTGGAATAAGAGGGCGTATTTGGTCACAATAGGACTGAAGTCGGACATTGTGAATTGAGTGGCCCCAACTAGTCTAGCTGAAAATGTGTTCCTTGCAGTTCAGCTGCCATTTAATATATTTGGGATTTTCCATAAAATAAACAAAGAAAACAGTGCATTTAGTGTATTTTCCAGGCTTTTCTTTTAGGTAATTCTCAGTAAATTTGCCCTCTTGCCTGTTAATTCATAAAATAGATAGATAGATAGATAGATAGATAGATAGATAGATAGATAGATAGATGATAGATAGATAGATAGATAGATAGATAGATAGATAGATAGATAGATAGATCACAATCCTTTTTTTAGGACTGCAATGTTATCTACAAAATGCACATGGAAGTCATGTTCACAGAAATGTTTTAGTCAAGGGCTCTTTTATCCCAACAGATATGTAAATCAAGGCACAATTTCCCCTTTAAAGGAGCCCATGGTTTCCCTTTTCAGAAAACACCCACCAACCTAAGCCTTGTGCTATTTGCTGAATCCTCTCTTGGCAATTCCCTCCACTCATTAGAGGGAGCAAAAATGTGGCTAAACCTTGTATCCTTACTAGTACTCCTCAAAGGTAATTATTTCCCCCGTATAGAGTTTATTTCCATATTCTGCTCCTGTATGCAGGAGATCTCATTAAAAAAAAAAAAAAACTTTTCTTTTTAGGAGTCCAATCTCAAGTGCAGCTGGTGGAGTCTGGAGGGGATGTGAGAAGACCTGGAGAGTCCCTCCGTCTCTCCTGCCAAGCCTCTGGATTCACCTTCAGCAGCTATGCAATGTACTGGGTGAGACAGGCTCCTGGGAAAGGACTGGAATGGGTGTCATACATAAACTACAATTCAGGAATTCTTACATACTCGGACAAAGTGAAGGGCCGCTTCACCATCTCCAGGGACAATGCCAAAAGCCAGCTCTATCTGCAAATGAACAGCCTCCAAGCTGAAGACACGGCAGTCTATTACTGTGCTACATACACAGTGAGTGGAAGTGAATCTGCTGCTATGCAAGAACCTTCCTTTCTTCAGAGCAGCTCTTCACCTTGTCTAAACCTCCAATCCTGGGTTATCAATGAGATTTGATCATTGTCTAGGGAGAACTTGAAGAAGTTTGGATGTAGGCATTAAAAAAGTTTGCTGTAACTAAAATAAAAAAAGTTCCAAGTCTACCAGTTGATTTGACTTCACTGGAATGAAATGTGCTTGTTTAAGTGTTGGGCGGAAGGGTGAAAAGGAAACCTTAGGATAATCCTTCTCACTATCCAAAGTGGCAAACACAAATTGGGGAAATACCTGCTCTGAAGGAATCTCCTTGGAGAATTAAGAAGATGTGTCCTGACTTCAGTTTTAACGCTGGAAGCCATGTTGCCATTGAAAATCCAATTGCCCATTTAGGTGGAGGGAATGTGCTAGGGAATAAAATATGTTTATTTTTAACAGTTTTTAGATTTTGTATGTCTTGCTTTTACTTTGGCTGTTCACCGCCCTGAGTCCTATATTGGAGAAGGGCGGTATAGAAATTTAAACTAATAAATAAATAAATAAATAATAAATAAATGTTTAAGTATCAATTGTCTTTTTGGACAATTGTCTTCAATTGGCCAAAATTGGTTTTCAGTGCCAAAAATGGTCCTAAGTCACTTTTTTCAGTGCCATTCTAACTTCAGACACTTAGCAAACATTTCTAAGTCAAGGACAACCTGTACTTTATCACTTTTTTCTTTTTTCTTTTCTTTCTTTCTTTCTTCTTCTTTTCTTTTCTTTCTTTCTTTTTTTTTTTGGTAATCAAGTTTTTGACACCTTGCTAGGTGACTGGTGGTACTCGAATATTGCTATAGCCAAAAAGTGGTACAATCTGCAAGAAGTTTGAAAAGCTCTGTTCTAAACCTCCAAACGGCCCTTCTCATATTGAGGAAACATCTGCACCAAAAGAATCTCCTTGGAGAATTAGGAAGATGGGTCCTCTCCTCATTCTGGACACTAGAGGGCAATGTTGTCACATGGAATCCCATTGTCTAGGCACCTGATGGGGGAGGGGACGGGAATTTAAAAACTGTAATTAGATATTGTCTCATTGTGAAAGTCAGATAATATTTTTTTTTATTTTATTTCTGTAATAATTCACTGTCATTAGGGCAAAGAAGCGATGCCACATGACCACCTGGTCACACCCACCCGGTCACATGAAGCACTGCAGTTGTGCAATGAGTGACACGGATGTTAAGAATGCTACAACGGGCATAAATGATGAGCGGTCATAAGTGCGAGAACCGGTCAAAAGTGCGAGGACCTGTCAAAAAACACTTTTTTCAGCTCTCTGGGTAGTCCCTATGTGCATAGGGACTATTCAGAGGGCTGAAAAATTTATTTTTGACCGGTCCTCACACATTTCACTGGTCCTCGCACTTACGACTGTTCTGACGTTTTATGTTTTGTGCCCTATCTTGTCACCGTGGCGAAGAGAAGTAGTTGTTAAATGAGTGACACGGTTGTTAAGAATGCTGCAATGGGTATAAATGATGACCAGTCATAAGTGATACGACTGGTCAAAAGTGCGAGGACCAGTCAGAAATCACTTTTTCAGCCCTCTGAGTAGTCCCTATGCACATAGCCAAACCCACCCGGTCACATGACCAGCTAGCTACACCTTCCCGGTCACATGACCAGCTAGCTATGCCCACCTGGTCACATAACCACCAAACCACGCCCCCAAATAAGCCACGCCCACACAACCGGTTGTTAAAAAAGTTGGATCCCACCACTGCTTATAGATACAAATCAGGGGTGGATTCTACTTACCTTTACTACCGGTTCACAACAGATTTGGGCTTGTACGCATGGACAGATCGCCAATGACAACATCCGGGGCAGTGGGCGGGGCCTCCCGCCAATTTTACTACTGGATCTTGCGAACCGGTCCGAACCGGGGGCAACCCACCACTGATGCAAATGCTATACAGCAATCAAGACGATTTTAAAGTTTCTCCCCATGGAACTCAAAACAACTTCACTTCTTCTTTACTTCACTTTAGCAGTCCAATCTCTGTAATCCATACTGAGAAACCATGTCTACGTTTACAACAGAAAACCCATAGCAAACAGAACCTTTTGGATAATACAAAGAGAATTATTTATCATTCTGTTTGAATTGAGAGACTGTATTTGGTCACAATATGACTTAAGTTTTACTTCGTGAGTTGAGTGAACCGAACTTGCCTAGCTGAAAAAGTGTTCCGTGATGGTAGTTGGGATTTTCCACAAAATAAACAACGGGTTAAGAAACAATCTGATAGCAAATGTTTTAATTCAAATGTACTAGCTTTTTTTATCCTCTCTAATAAGTGTCCTTAAATCGGACTAAAGTGTCCATTTATTCCCTATTACTAAAATCATTTGGAAGTGTAGTGAAATTTTCAAGCCTTTTTTGTAGTTAATGTACAGTAAACTGACTCTTTTATTTATGAACTCAAGGAAAAAAATGTGTCCAAAACTTTTCTTAGGACTAGAATGTTGATTACAAAATGTAGATGTAAGTTATGTTCACCGAAGTCTCTTTTATCCCAATAGATATGTAAATTCAGACCCAATTTCCCCTTTAAAAGAGCCCCATGGTTTCCCTCTTCAGACAACACCCACCAACCTAAACCTTGTGCTATTTGCTGAATCCTCTCTTGTCAATTCCCTCCACTCACTAGAGGGAGCAAAAATGTGGCTAAACCTTGTGTCCTTACTAGTACTCCTCAGAGGTAATTATTCCCAAGTATAGAGTTTATTTCCATGTTCTGCTCCTCTATGCAGGAGATCTCATTTAAAAAAAAACATTTTTCTTTTTAGGAGTCCAATCTCAAGTACAGTTGGTGGAGTCTGGAGGGGATGTGAGAAGACCTGAGGAGTCCCTCCGTCTCTCCTGCCAAGCCTCTGGATTCACCTTCAGCAGCTATGGCATGCACTGGGTGAGACAGGCTCCAGGGAAAGGCCTGGACTGGGTGGCCTACATAAACTCTGCTTCCAGTGATATCAACTACTCAGACAAAGCGAAGGGCCGCTTCACCATCTCCAGGGACAATGCCAAAAGCCAGCTGTATCTGCAAATGAACAGCCTCAAAGTTGAAGACACGGCAATTTATTTCTGTGTTGGAGACACAGTGAGAGGAAGTGAATCTGAAGCCAAACAAAAACCTTCCTTTCTTCAGAGCACTTCTTCAACTTATCTAAACCGCCAATCCTGGGTTATCAATGAAGGTTGATTATTGTTGAGTGAGAACTTTAGAAACTTTGGGTGTAGATCACGACTCTGCATGCCCCTCTGTCTCACACTGACTCCTTTAGGTCTGCCATGGTCATCCCGGTGTCATCCTTTATAGTTCATTTGGCTTCACTGGAAAGGAATGTAGTCCTTTAGTATCATGGGGGAATGATGGAAATGAAAATTTAGGATCATCCTTCTGGCAAACACACACTGGGGAAATATCTACTCGGAACAAATCTCCTTGGAGAATTAAGAAGATGCTTCCTTGCTTGAAGTTTGACTCTCCAAGCCATGTTACCTTGAAGGTGGCTGGGATTTTCCATATAATAAACAATGGTTAATGAAACAATCTCATAGTCAACTTCCTAATTCAAATGTGCTAGCTTTTTTCTTTACCCTCTCCAATAAATTACTATATTACTATAGAAATAGAGATAACACTTAGACATATATACCGTGCTTCCCCGTGTTTCCCTGTCTTATATTTTTTTGAACCCTGAAATAAGAGCTTGGACTTATTGCCATGCACTCAAAAGCCTGATTCGGCTTATTATCAGGGGGTGTCTTATTTTGGGGGAAAACAGGGTGCCACTTCATAGTGATTTACAGTCCTCTCTAATCATTTTACAGAGTCAGCATATTATCCCCAACAATCTGGGTCCTCATTTTACCAACGTTGGAAGGATGGAAGACTTAGTCAACCTTAAGCCAGTGAGAATCAAACTGTGGGCAGTCAGCAGAATTAGCCTGCAATACTGTATTCTAACCACATTGCCACCATCTTGGCGTGGCAAGATCAAATATCATGGCATTACCCCAGTAGTAATATATGACTGTCAGAGTTGGGTCATAAGGAAGACTTAGTGCGAAAGAATTCATGCTTTTGAACTTTGGTGCTGGAGAAGACTCTTGAAGAGACCTGTGGATTGCAAGGAGATCACATTAAGCAGTCTTAAAAGAAATCCAATTTGACTGTTCTTCAGAAGGACAGATCCTGAATCTGAAACTCAAATACTTTGGCTACCAAATGAGAAGAGAGGATTCATTGGGAGAAACCTGTGAATTTGGAGAGATTGAAAGCAAAAGGAAAGCAGAGGATGAGATGGTTAGACAGTGTCATTGACACAGAGAACAAGGTTTTGGGCAAACTTTGGGGGACAGTGGATAACAGGGGGCTGGTGTCCTATGGTCCATGGGCTCACAGAGAGTTGGACACAACTTAGCGACTGAACGACAACAAGAACAAGAGTATCATGGAATAAGGCAAGAAATGAAAGTTTAGGTTGATATTTCTGGCTATTAAAATTGCCATAACATATTGAGGAAACATCTGCACCAAAAGAATCTCCTTGGAGAATTAGGAAGATGTGTCCTCTCCTCATCCTGGACACTAGAGGGCAATGTTGTCACATGGAATCCCATTGTCTAGGCACCTGATGGGGGAGGGGAAGGGAATTTAAAAACTGTCATTAGATATTGTCTCATTGTCAAAATGAGATAATATTTTATTTTATTTTATTTCTGTAATAATTCTCTGTCATTAGGGCAAAGAAGCGATGCCACCTGGCCACACCCACCCCGTCGCATGAAGCACTGCAGTTGTGAAAAGAGTGACACGGTTGTTAAGAATGCTGCAACCGGCATAAATGATGATCATAAGTGCAAGGTTGTAAGTGCAAGGACCAGTCAAAAGTGCAAGGACCTGACAGAAATCACTTTTTTCAGCCCTCTGAATAGTCCCTATGCACATAGCCACGCCCACCCGGTCACATGACCAGCTAGCCACGCCCACCTGGTCACATGACCAGCTAGCCACACCCACCTGGTCACAAGA